AAAGATTCTATTTTTCCTAAATGTATATATTTTAAAATTTCCTTGTGTTTTTTTTGTTTGATAAAGAATATTTTCATTGTTGTTGTCGTGATAGAGAGGAGGACCAGACTCAATGTCGTCAGCTAGTGACAGTTTACTTAATCGTATGGTTGCTAAAAAAAATTTACTCGATTCTTCAGAAAACATTATTTATCTTTTTAATATTTTGTTGGGTTAATATTGTTCTCATAGTATTCTCTGTTTTATCCTTATAAATATTTCGAACGAAAAAAAATAAAAATAAATCCTTATAAAAATATTATCACTCGTGAAGGAATCTTCAATGTCCTCTTTTTTTTTTAGAATGTTTTTAAGCTCCTTGAGGAATTTTCCAGTGTTACAGGCAGGGGATTTAATCTTTCTTTCACATTTTCTCCTTTAAATCAATTTGCTACTTTTTTCTTAAAAATAAGAATCAATCTTTCCTTTCACAGTTCCTTCATAAGTTTGCAGAGGTATTTCTTCATCTCAAAGGAAACTATTTGTCTTCTCATTTCTCATTCTTGATGAAACTGAAATTTTTTTCCTGCCTTTCATTTTCCTGCAAGGTGTCTTAAGGAGGAGAGATTTTGTAACCCAGGTGGTGAGTTCTTCCTGTTTTTCAGGAATTAACATGCAAAACTTTATCTTGTGTAATCATTTAGCCTTAAAATTTGAAGATTTGACTCTCTAACTTCTATATTGTTTAATGCATTAACCAAAAAATACTTAAAGATCAGATCTTGAGAGTGGACCCAATTCTCAGTTCAAAATTCAAGTTTTTTTTTGGTTCAGTACATTATACATAAATGTGATTCTTGAAATTAGATGTGGCTCTTTCTCTTTGCAGGTGTTGGTGATGATGCCTATGTGATATTATTGTTCAAGTAGTTGTGTTTGTTTTATGGTCTAGTGTGTGGCTATGGAGAAACTCTTTTGTGGCTTTCCATTACTGCTTCTGGTTCTGCTTTTAGCTTCTATTGATGGGTCAATACAGCTTCAATCATCTCAATCTCAAACTCTTGTGAGGCTTCAACAGCTTCTTCACTATCCTAAAGTGTTAAGCAGCTGGAACAACTTCACAGATTTCTGTAATTCCGAGCCAAACCCTTTGTTAACAGTTGTGTGTTATGAAGATAGTGTAACGCAGCTTCACATTATAGGAGACAAAGGAGCTCATTTGTTACCAAAGAGTTTCTCAATAGACTCATTTGTTACTACTCTTGCTAAGCTCCCTGATGTTAAAGTTCTAACCTTTGTGTCACTTGGGTTATGGGGTCGGTTACCGGAGAAAATCAACCGATTATACTCATTGGAGATTCTCAATGTGAGTTCTAATTTCTTCTTTGGAACCATTCCTCATGAGCTCTCGTCGCTTGCTAGCCTTCAAACGCTTATACTCGATGAGAATATGTTTTCTGGTGAGTTACCGGATTGGATTGGTTCTTTACCGGCTTTAGCTGTGTTAAGCTTGAGAAAGAATGTGCTCAATGGTTCATTGCCTTCTTCGTTGAGTAGTTTGTCTGGTCTTAGAGTTCTTGCTCTAGCTAATAACCGGTTTAACGGAGTTTTACCTGATTTAAGCCGTCTGACAAACCTTCAAGTGCTTGATCTTGAAGGAAACTCTTTTGGACCGATGTTTCCTCGGTTAAGTCACAAACTGGTTACTCTTATACTTAGCAAGAACAAGTTTAGATCTGCAGTTTCAGCTGAAGAAGTGAGTTCTTTGTATCAGCTTCAACATTTGGATCTTTCTTTCAATACATTCGTCGGTCCATTTCCTACTTCCGTGATGTCTCTTCCCGCGATAACATACTTGAACGTTTCACACAACAAACTCACAGGGCGGCTTTCATCAAATATTTCTTGCAACTCACAGCTTCTGTCTGTTGATCTGTCGTCAAATCTTCTTACCGGACGCTTGCCTACGTGTCTTAAACCAAGTTCCGGTACTAGCAGAGATGTTGTCTACGCAGGTAACTGTTTGGCTACTACAAATGAAGATCAGCGTCCTGTTTCATTTTGTAGCAATGAAGCTCTTGCTGTTGGAATCCTACCACAGAGGAGGAACAGAGTATCCAAATTGGGTATTGCCTTAGGCATAACTGCAGGCATTCTCGGAGTAATCCTCCTCGCCGGTGCATTGTTTGTGGTTCTTAGGAGATTTAACGCTAAGAGAACAGCGATGAAATCTTCGCCAAGATTGATCACAGAGAATGCTGCTATGGGGTACACATCAAAACTACTATCGGATGCAAGTAAGAAGATTTAAAAAATCTCTCATATAGTGTCACACATTTCACATATACCATGAGTTTTATTGTTCACTTGTGGTTTCTGCAATATTTTGAAGGGTATATCTCTCAAACAATGAAGCTAGGAGCACTTGGTCTTCCAGCTTACAGGACATTCTCACTGGAAGAGCTCGAGTATGCGACAAATAACTTTGAATCCTCTGCTTTCATGGGTGAAGGTTCTCAAGGACAGGTAAACAAAGTTTCTAGTTTTCTTTTATTTTCTGAAAGTGAGAAGTTTCTCATCTTTTGTTTGTTATTCTCAGATTTATAGAGGGAAGTTGAAAGATGGATCCTTTGTGGCGATTAGATGTTTGAAAATGAAGAAAAGTTGCAGCACTCAAAACCTGATGCATCACATCGAGCTCATCGCTAAACTGAGGCACCGTCACTTGGTTAGTGTCCTCGGACACTGCTTCGAGTGCTACTTAGATGATTCAACAGTCAGCAGAATGTTCTTCGTCTTTGAGTATGTCCCAAATGGAGAACTCAGGAGCTGGATTTCTGGTATTACACTGAAACATGTCCCAAGAACATATACAGAAATAAGTATTATCATTATATCTTGTAATAACTTAAACTGCAATGCTCTTGTCTTTGCTGTGTTAGATGGGCACATGGGAAGATTGCTTACTTGGGAACAACGCATAAGCGTAGCGATAGGTGTAGCAAAAGGGATCCAGTTCTTGCATACTGGTATTGTGCCTGGTGTTTATCATAACAACCTGAAAATAACAGACGTTTTGCTTGACAATAACCTTGCGGCGAAAATCAGTAGCTATAACCTTCCATTACTTGTGGAAGGTCTTGGAAAGGTAAATGGTTTCAAAGTTTGAATCTTGTTTGTTTCTTGAATCCTATGTTGAATTTGTTTTTGCTTTACGTTTTAAGGTAGGGCAAGTAGTATCTGGAGCCGGACCTAAAGGCATTCCAAGGTGTGTAAAATCTTCTTCACTCTACCGAGAGACACTGATATAAAAATTGTCAGGTTCTTAAACCAATTAACTTACATGGTTTAATCCTCTATTTCTCATCAGCATCAAAGAAGAAGATAAACTTGATATCTATGACTTTGGAGTGATCTTGCTTGAACTTATAGTGGGAAGACCATTGAGAGCAAAGGGTCAAGTTGATGTTCTAAAAGAGCAGGTAACAACGCAATTCGATATAACTAGAAACAAAATTGAGATCTCTACTTCAGTAACTGTTTTTTTTCCTTTGTTTTTGGTAGTTACAAGCGAGCATTTCAGCGGATGATGGAGCGCGAAGGAGCATGGTGGATCCAACGGTCCACAGAGCATGTTCAGATCAATCATTGAAGACAATGATGGAGATATGTGTAAGGTGTCTCCTCAAAGACCCTTTAGAACGGCCTTCCATTGAAGATGTTCTGTGGAATCTTCAGTTTGCTTCTCAAGTTCAAGAAGGTTGGCTACAAAACAGTAATTCCCCAAGCATGCGTGGCTCGCCTTCCCCTGCAGCTTCCTCTCTTCCTCCTCCCTCTCGTTTACACGTAACAACACTCGAATCGCCCCGAGATTCAGGTAGTTTAAAATCAATATGGTACCACTTTTTATGATCAATTGATTCAGGAAATTATAAGATTTGACTGTAAAAGATTTCATATTGAGTGGGATTCTTTTCTTGATTAGAGATTTAAATTGTGTTTGTGTGGATGTAAATTGCAGGCTATGAAGAACATGAGAGGTAGAGAGACAAGAGTTTTTGTTTGGTCCGTTGTTTGTGTGTTCTTTACTACCCTTTGTAATGAAACCTACCTTCTCTCTTATTGTATATGCACTGGAATCATAGTGTTTTCGTTTGTTGGTTGGAAATGATCAAAACGATTACTAGTAATACGAAGTAGTCTAGCATAAAATATTTTGGGACTTGAAAGAAACCAGTTTAGATTCATGGACACAAAAGACAGAGAAACACTTGTCATCGAAAGGTTCAAATAGATCCATGTCAAAAGGTTAAGAGGAAGAGGACCCACACTTGTCAAGATATCATATTGCCTTTTCATTCTTAGCTTGCACGCACCTGAAAATAAATTTTATCAAGTTAGAAGATGAATTTATAATCAACCCCCAAAACGACTATTTAATTACCATACCAGAGAGAAATACTTTTTAACAATCGATACTCGCACTTCTGCTAGCTTCTGCCCATCAATCCTCCTCATCTTCTTCTAAAATCGGAACCGGAACCGGAACGAGACACGGGAGTGAAATCGCACTCAAAAGCAAAATTATAAAATTGGCGATAACCTATCTCGTATTGGTTTGTGATCCCATCCATACCGAGTTCATACACTTTGCGGCAAACATCACCATTAGCTTTATCAACTTCTTCTTCCTCGCAGTAGACCATGATTTTTCCATTTGTCCAGTAGAGCAGGGTCAACCACATTCATGTACCTGCTCCAGGGGTTCATATCCCTCCAATGTTGCAGCACGATTCATTTCATCTTTTGAGAAAATGATGCGGTTAATTTTCTCTTCCTCCAAGGCAGCATCTTCACCTTTCATAATCCAAGTTTCTTGAGATGAACCATCAAATACCAGCTTGTAATCCTATTGAAACGCAAATAGAAACAACAAGTATATTAATAGTTTAGTATCTCCAAATCAAAGATAGTACATTTATACCTAACCGATTCCATTAAAGATACTACCTCCAAAGAATTGTTGTAGAACATTTTCTCTAGATGTGTCTCCACATCATTGATCCCCAATATCTCCCCGAGCTCCTCCACTCTCACATTTGAATGGCAAGACACTAACTCCATCGTAAATCTGTCTCTTATTATATAACAAAATAAGTGGTCAGTGTTTTGGGCCAAAAACGAGAGGCTTTAAAAAGCCCATTTACTTGGTCCAAAAAGAATAGTCTTGATGGACCTTTGGTCCAATTGCCCAAGCCCAAGCCC